TTAGGGATTTGGGTTAGGAACAGGGGTTTAGGGTTAGTGTTAACCCCCATATTACCACCGATCCCCTATAAGAGGCGACTTGGGCTTGTCTACTGCAGGTACGGCTACGAAAGGAGATCCATCGCTATAAACACTCATCGTTCCCACGCCACCCGCATGAAGAAGTCAGCGTATTATGATCATTGCGACAAGGGGGGTTAAATAGGCTGTGAATGATGTTTGTAATTCGATACGTGAAGTACACACCACTGTCACCAGGGGGTTGGGGCTGCGTGCAATAGCCATATGGTGTCACTGTTCACCACGGAAGACAGAACACCAGTGTTAACATCTTCTGACAACATAGCAATGAATTTGCTAGCCCTATAGCCACTATCTCCGTTTTAGTTAGCACCCACAACCGTAGGCCTCTGAAGAAGCCTGTTGGTTTTTGGTAGACAACCTGAAAGGTCTCTTTGTCCTCGGCTAGATGATTCGTATTGACAAATTTGTGCGACAATAGAAATCGAAATCGATCTGTGTTCACTTCTTCGAATCAACACCGGCATGCGTTTGCGTACTCTCTTTCCAGGCGCACGCTCCATAGGAGCAAGTGAATGAATTTTTAACGGAATATTGTTGCATTTTCTCATTACCCGTGCTTCATTTGTCACTTCTAATCGAAAAGTTTGAGTAGTCATTAATAATAGATTAATATGATTCAGTTTGAAATAGTAAACGGAACTTCAAGACAACTTGAAGGAGAAATAATCTGCTGGTGAGGCCATACATATATTGACAGACTTTAGGCTCCATCAGTTAAAGTTTTATGCATGGAAGTCCTTAACTAAATTGCCTGAAATTACGGTTTGGTAGAATTAATCACAGACGTCGAGTTATGAGGGTTAATATAAGAAGGCGAACTAATGCATTTGGTCCACACAGAGTTCAGGGATAAACACCTTGTTATATCCCCCCCTCCCAGTCGCATGACGTCAGTTCCGTGTGAAATAGAAGACAGACAGGATAACGGAGAACAACTTTGCTGTGAAATTTATCTTGTGTAACTCTCAACCGCGCTCTGTCCGCGGTTTGGTATTTAGGGGTTGTGCCCTTGACTGGTTTACGTCCTCCTACTGGTTCAGTCCTGAGCGTCCGCATGGGCTGACTCTCGCGCTTTGTCTACCCCCGAATGTCGCGCGTAACTCGGCAGCGCGCCAATTGTTGGCTGGCATGTGGGCCTGCTACACGAGACTGATCTGTAAAAGAAGACGAAAGCACGATCACAGGACGGTAGATTTATTTGTCTTAGCTTTCGAACTCGAACTGGAGTTCATCATCAGAAACTGCTAGAGTGCAGCAACGTGTGAACACTTATATCGTTGTTTCGTGAGGGACACTACGTCCGTGGCCCCCCCCCGTACCCTCCCCCGCACGGAACAACGATATAAATGTTCACACGTTGCGGCACTCCAGCAGTTTCTGATGATGAACTCCAGTTCGAGTTTGAAAGCCAAGGCCAATAAATCTACCGTCCCAGTGAGCGTGCCTTCGTCTTCTTTTAAACATGAACCTGGGATGCGCATATTTTGTTCCATTCCTGACTGATCTGCCAGTTTGCGATTTTTTTGTCACGCGTGACCGCCGGACGGCGGGAATGGTGAGTCATGTTCTGTGACGTCCTAACACCTCCCACTGTTAACGAGTGATAATTTAGGTCGAGCACAAGGCTATTTGTGGGACGCCTAGTTCTACAGGACCGCCTGAAGGCCTGGGTTATATCTAGAACCTCAACCATGAGAGTCGGGATACTGTCATAAAGTAGGTCCACGACTAACTAGTTCCCTGATCTCGTTCGGTACCTCAGATGGTGAGCATGTAACCTCACATGTCCTCTTTTTGTTTCGACTTTGAAAACGATACCATGTGCCCTTCCAATTGCACCCTCTATCCAGGTTTCTCCTCATGAAGCGCAATTTCGGACATAAGCCCCCTCGCTTCCTATGAAACAAGATTTTCTCGGCTGGACCACTCGAGTCACAGGTTTCAGTTACTGCAGACGCACATAGGGTTGTCCGCCCAGAAACCTTTCAGCTGGAATTGATCCACTTAGCTCTGTATTCGGCGTCGGTCGATAAGCCAAATGGAATGTCTTCAGGTGCTCTATCTTGACGCCTGCGTTCCACAGTTTCTCATCACCCTTTCAGTTTGGCCATTTGATAAATGATGGAAGCAAAACGACACCATGTGTTTGAGTCTCCAATTTTGGCAAATCCGTTGATTTATGCTTGATAGAGATTGGGTCCAATTATCAGTCACAACCTTTGTTGGGATTCCGCACATCGAGGTCGACTCTTTAGTTCCCCTCACCGTGAATACCTGAACACCGAAAACTTCTAGTCATTTCGGTCGCGTATTCGCATGTGTATTCTGCTCCAGGGTTTCATGGCTTCCAGCCACGACACTGACAGGTTTTTCTGGAGGGAGGGATCTTTGCAAATCGTCCACATAGGCCACAGTTATTGACAGGTTTTCAATGTTTTTTTCAATTCCGGGCCAGTAAAAGTTTCTGCTATCTGTTTCATCCGCGTTATACCCGGGTCTCCAGCATGCACCTCCCGCAATACTTATTCCTAATGTTGAGCCGGCACATTAACTCGGTCGTCGTACAGTATTCGATCCTATAAGATGCAGAACCGTTCCTTTCGATTTCTAAAGGCCTTCATAGACTTGTGAGTTCTGTCCTCGTCGGGCCAGCCACGCAGCATAAATTCCTGAACTTAGTGTAGAACTCAGTCGTTCATTTTCACAGCTCTGATATGCTCAAATGCGATAGGAACCTGATGGATAACTTCCCTATGTTCTGCGTCTTCTCGACGTTTCATGTCTTTGCTTAAACTTTACAACGCGTTTGGGACTCCCTATTTTTGCGTAGGTAAGTGTTGATAGGTTAGGTCGAATTTCAAGAGGATTATTGCCCACAGCTGAATCCCCTTCGCCACATTCTGCGTTATGCCAGCGTTCGTCCTAAGGAAGAAGCATCAACGGCTGATGATGCATGCGTAACGTGGAGTGTCTACAACATATAAACCGAGGGGGCCTTTGGACGGCAAAAATTACAACCAAAGCTTCTCTTCTCTCCGATATTTATTTCAACATCCGTCATTGACCTCGCGGCATGCACTAAAGAGTGAATTTACCCGTCCGCATGCTTTTGGACCAGGACTGCGCCCAATCTATAGTCAGATCAGTTGGCCTGGACGATCGTTTCTTTCCTTAAGTCGGATTGAGAATGCATTGTGAAATGATTGGGCTCAGCCTTTAACGGCATGAAAGCTTCTCCGCACTTCTCTGGCCTAAAACTTTCCTTCAAACTGTGAATTCCTTCTGTGAACGGTCCGTAGTAACTGACAAGCCCCATGAAGTGACTATCAAACCCCCCTCTTATCAATTAGTTACTTTATTTGAGTCCTTATTGTTAGAGTACATTCCATTGTAGGTCGGTATGTCTCACAATTCGGTCATAATGTTTGAAACCTCTTATTTGGGCATCGCTACCCTCTTTCTGCCCGCAAGTTTAAGCACCATGTGTTTTGGAAGGTTTTAATGTCCACTCATAGTTTTAACTTACTTGGTTACTTTTGGCAGTTATTTCCGATGCCGTTTACTTCAAGATGTACAAAAAGTTATATCCTATAAGAAATACTGGCAATAAGGCAGTAAGGTATTGCAAGACCAGGTTGTTGATAATATGCGTCGGTAAATGATTTCCCTCTCCTCATATTCAGTATTAGACTTGTCCTGAACACAATAATTATTCATGCAGGTATGCGCTCTCCGGCATCGGAGACTAACCACATGACCCAGCCAGTACTCCGACAATTACCGACAGCTGGGACGAAATCTGGGTCACTTAGGTTTTGTCTGTGGGTAACTAAATATATATATATAGGCAGAATGGCATTACCGACAAAGACAAGGGAGACTGAAATGGCCATTTCTGGCTTATTAGCCGTCGTCAGCCAGCCATACCCAAACCCGAAGTGTGGAACACCCGAGCCTCGAACTCGCGACCTGTTGGTTTAGAAGTCCCGATCGAAAACCGACAAGGCAACGGGCTCGTGGCCCGGTGAGTAGAGGCGTGGACTTCTAAACCAACAGGTCGCGAGTTCGAGGCTCGGGTGTTCCACACTTCGGGCTTGGGTATGGCTGGCTGACGACGGCTAATAAGCCAGAAATGGCCATTTCAGTCTCCCTTGTCTTTGTCGGTAATGCCATTCTGCCTATGTATCATGCGCCGCTGTGCGGCTGCTGTTTGGGCTCGAGAGAGAGCCCTTAAGGCACAACGGAACGAGTGAGTTCCGTATGGATGATCGGTGAGCGCCCCCTAGCATTATATATATATATATATATGAGAAGATAAGACGATCTCGGGAACCATAGTTGTATTGTCCTGACGTTTCAAAAGCAAACAAGATTTCATCGTCGGAGGTGAGTTTTGTACCACGCCTCACAGTATTTATAGGTGGTGATGGTCTCCTTTCAACGGGTTTCCCTCTCGTCGGGGGCTGGCGTTCGGGCGCTAGCCGTCATCGCACGTGTTCGCATGGATCTTAGTTCTCGTCCTAGGCTGGTAATCTTCTTTACGACCTCGTGACGGCCTGTGTTCTCACCTGCCGAATGAGTGGCAGTGACGCTGGCACCTTCGTCGGGTCCGTTTCTGCTACTGCGACCGTCCGTTTTCTCACCTGCCGGACAAGTGGGTGTCGCGACTGTTGTGACGATCGCACCTTCGGCAGATCCAAGTTGAAGTGCAGCTGCGTTTGTATCCCCCATGGATCTTAGTTCTCGTCCTGGGCTGGCAATCTTCTTTACGGCCCCGCGGTACACCTACATATAATCTGGCAAAATGACTATTCCGCAAACTGAGGTCTCTCACCACGAAGGCAGCCACGACCGTCTGTTCAGCGGCTCAGTTCCCAGAACGGCTCAAAGGCATCCGACTTAGCGAAGACGAGGTCATGGTGTCATTCGATGTCACCGCTCTCTTCACTTCGATCCCGCAATGCCTAGCAGTCCAAACGGTTAGCGAACTGCTCGAATGCAAGTACGACGAGATGGAAGAAAGTGCGAAACGGACTCATCTCATTCAACTGCTGAAATTCTGCCTGCAGACGTTCTTTACCTTCGACGGGAGGGTATACGAACAGACCAAGGGGACGCCGATGGGATCGCCGCTTTCAGGCTTCATCGCAGAAGCAGTTCTCCAAAAGGTGGAGACCGAAGTCTTCGAGACCTACAGGTCAAAATTTTGGACTCGATATGTTGATGATACCTTTGTTATCATCAAGCGGGCAATGGTTCAAACCTTTCACAATGTCCTCAATTCGGTTTCGCCTGATATTCAATTCACAATGGAGGCCGAAAGCAACAACGAACTACCGTTCCTAGACGTACTGGTTCACCGGAACCCAAATGGACACCTGAAAACAACGGTGTATAGGAAGGCCGCCAATACGCGCCAAATCCTGAGCTACCACAGCAAGAACCCGTTGTCCCACAAACGCAGCTGTGTACGCACACTGTACAAAAGGGCAGATACACACTGCAGCGAGCCAGACGACAAAAGGTCGGAACTACGCCAACTTCAGCGCCTCTTCATGGCGAACCGGTATCCTCGAAATTTTATAGAACGCAACAGGCAGCCTGTGCCAAGCCGAAGCCCAGTGACAGAACGACCAAAAGTCTGGCGAGCCCTTCCTTACATTGACGGCGTCTCTGAGGCGGTCTCCCGTCTCCTAAGGCCACGTGGAATCGGCTTTGCCCATCGGCCAGAGTCAACAATCCGGCATCTGGTAATGAGACCCAAGACGCCGCTGCCACCCGGTGAAACAACAAACGTGATTTATCGGATCCAATGCAGCTCCTGCGAGATGAACTACATTGGGGAGACCGGTAAACGACTCCAGACCCGTGTTAAAGAACACATGAGGGCCGTAAGGATGATGGACCAGTTATCCCTGGTGGCAGAACACTGCGCAAACTCTGGACACAAATTCGCTTTCCAGAGTGCCGAAATCCTGGGCCGAGGAAATGATCGCGTGACCAGGGAAACAACTGATGCCTGGCACACCAGCACGAACTCCATCAACCGCTGTGTAGCGCTTCCCGAAGCCTAACAGGCCCTCCGGACGCAGCTCAGAGAACAGGCGAGCAAACGCGGGTTCTGAGGAGAAAGGAACCCAATTACGGCCGGGTCCATGGGGGACCCAAACGCAGCTGCACTTCAACTTGGATCTGACGAAGGTGCGATCGTCACAACAGTCGCGACACACACTTGTCCAGCCGGTGAGAAAACGTACGTTCGCAGTAACATAAGCGGACACGTGGAAGGTGCCAGCGTCACTGCCAATTATCCGGCAGGTGAGAACACAGGCTGTCGCGGGGCCGTAAAGAAGATTGCCAGCCCAGGACGAGAACTAAGATCCATGGGGGATACAAACGCAGCTGCACTTCAACTTGGATCTGCCGAAGGTGCGATCGTCACAACAGTCGCGACACCCACTTGTCCGGCAGGTGAGAAAACGGACGGTCGCAGTAGCAGAAACGGACCCGACGAAGGTGCCAGCGTCACTGCCACTCATTCGGCAGGTGAGAACACAGGCCGTCACGAGGTCGTAAAGAAGATTACCAGCCTAGGACGAGAACTAAGATCCATGCGAACACGTGCGATGACGGCTAGCGCCCGAACGCCAGCCCCCGACGAGAGGGAAACCCGTTGAAAGGAGACCATCACCACCTATAAATACTGTGAGGCGTGGTACAAAACTCACCACCGACGATGAAATCTTGTTTGCTTTTGAAACGTCAGGACAATACAACTATGGTTCCCGAGATCGTCTCTTCTTCTCATTTATGTCCGGGGAAGCGCATCTTCGCTTCTATCATATATATATATATATTTCGAAGAAGAATGAGTCCTTTGGGAAAATTAACAAACTTTATTTCGTAAATTTTCGAGACTGGTTCCCCAGCTCGTCTTCAGACGTGTAGTAAGTGTGAAAAAACAGTCAAAATTTAAACAATGC